GTTCACATAGGGTTGCGATAGGGCGGTGAGGGGCAAAATCAAAAAAAAAAACTTTCGTTATGGTTATGGTATGTTGAGCACAAAAATCACATTTATTGCGCCCGATACCTTCATGCTGAAGATTGCGGTATCTGTACGGTGTAGCAGACATCTAATTACCTGAAACTTCACCGATTTTATCACGCTGTTCGAGAATGATAAACTTTTCCATTCTATCCCCAACCTTTGGAAGATTGATTCTCAATCTTTTGATGGATAGGGCATTACGCCTTCAGTATAAAGCGAGTTAGCACGGCATATAGTTCTACCACATCGGTTTCAAGCAAATCTGTGATAATGACTTTCTATCGTCTACACATAGTTGTCCTATAGTATGGTAGTGTGCGAAATGGATAAAATGTTCGTGGTCCTAAAGCTAAATGACCGCATAGGCTTCTTTCCATCCGAATCTTGAACCCTTACCGTTTTCTTACTGTAACCCTACAATGTTACCTTATCGGCGGAATTCATGATCAGCACGTAGAATAACCTAATTGAAAGTTTAAGCTTAATAGAAAATTTTGAAATCTCAGGAAGCTAGAAGTGGATTTACACTCCTCTTTCTTAGCTAATATCATTATTAACATCAAAGACCTAACACACAATCATCCTCAGGATACGCTTGAGACTGCTACATCCTATTTCTCGGTATTAATAGCTTCCGTCTCGTAACGACTCAAAGAATTTGCAATTACAGCGAACTGCAAAAGAAGTGTTTTGTACCTTTATTTGGAATGTTGATGGTATATTGGAGGAATAGCTTTAGGTTTTGAAATTTCAGCTGCTTTGATATCATTTTCAGTCCTTGCTCAACGTGGATTCTTGAAGGAGCAACATTTCATCAACTATCTGAAGTATCTGCTTTATTGGAAACAGCCGGAATACGCAAGGTTCGAGTTCATTACTGTTTTTCGCTCTCTCCCCTTTTTGTTCTCCTCCAAAATTCTTCACTTTTTTCATAATGAGCACTTGGTCATTACCAATTCTTCCACATAAAAAGTCGGAGTGTAGTGATTCTTGGGGCTCCAATGGGTTCTTTTAGTTCACCTATTTCTCTTAATCCTATTACTGTAGGGTAAGATGACTCCTTAACACTTTTGCCTTTGACATAATTGTCTTCATTTCAATTGTATTCAATTACTAATCCAATTAACATTGTATTTGAAACGTTCGGCTGGTGATAGTTGTTAATTGGAATAATTGTTTTTAGAATAAAAAAACTTCCAAACCTAAGAAGTGATTCTTTTATCTGTTCAGCTTATTATTCGAGTGGAACACAAACGCTTTATTTTCCTCATTTTTCAGTCAATTTTTATTGTTTTCAGAGCTTTAAAATATCCTCAATGTTTGCATTTACTAGAGTGCCTTCAATGCCCAAACTTTCGTGAAGCCCTCACTTCAGGTATCTTAGGATAATTCTTGAAATCATTCCTTAATGGAGGATAGAAATGGTCTTCTATTTAAGGGGCAAATGCGAAATTCATAGAAGATCAGCAAGTTC